CCCCCCCCCCCCCCCCCCAAAAAAAAAAAAAATCAAGTATGACATTCAACTTATTTGGACTAAAACAAGACATGCAACAGTCATAAATAGATCTTTTTAACGGTCATCAACATTATTTTTAAAACTATTCACATTGCACAATATATTTAACAACGAGTTACCCTTATATATATAACCACTTCCCCCGAATTTTCCACCGTTCTTTAGCTTCCTTCTCCCTGTTCTCTCTTTACTTCTCTTCTTTCTATCTAGTCGAGATGGGACAGGGTGGAGGATGTAATTCTGTACATTACACGGTTCCGTCATAAAAAGTGCCATAAGATAAAGTTTCTCATAATTATCTAGTTGATGACTCTAATTAGTGGATTTCACACTACAAAAGCTGACAAACTCCGACGCACGGTTATTGTCAAACGTTCGTAGCTTACTAGCATTTACTTCAAAACGCCAGAATAATCCTTTATCAAAATGCTATAGTTTTGTCAAACGCTGGCTTTTGTCAAATTTCTTGCATGTGATCACATGGAACAAATCAGTGAGTGTTTTGAATGTTTTTCTTCATATTTTTTGTTGGAATTCAAATTCAAAGGGAACACATCATGTTCTATTCCCAAACAAAGTGTCAAATGTGGGTAACAAATGACTTTTCTGAGTGCACAATCCTATATCAAAAAACACTGGACCCATACCTCTTTATGGTTGCTGAGCACTCTTTCAAATCATTGCTCCAAGTCTAGAGTTTCATCATCGTCAATTAGAAACAATTGCTAACAACACTTTCAACAACTGTGGTATATAATAGTTAAGTCCAATAATGCTTTTTCTCATCATTTTGACTAAGAACTTTGGGATATGATTACAGTACCCCCAAAAAATAATAATATATTATCGTATCATTTATCACTTTTTCGGGTAGTTATACCACAATTTTAGTGAAACTTTTTTGGGTATTATTTTTGGGGCATGTTTTGGTTCGGGTACAAACAAAGGATGAGATTAGGTAATTGATTCTCATCAAATTCATACAAATGGTGTTAATATAATAAGAGTAGTACGATTTGATCCTATCATTGTGTAACAAGTTTGTATTAAGGTTTGAAATAATTTATAAAATCAATAATTATAATATCATATTTTTATTTGGATTAGGTAATAGTGTATGATATTAAATTGAAAATGACAAAACGAATATTGAGGGGAAAAATTTGCATAACTTGTAACTTTTATATGAATGTGTGAATTTAGCTTTAGGTTTGTAAGAATAATAAAATCATTGTGTTTTTAATACTTAGCTTGTTAAAAATAATACCACTTACCACATACTATTCATTATTACCTAATATTAAGTGTTAAATGACAATAATGAACCAGGTTGGAATTAAAGAGAAATTAATACCAGGTCGCTATAACTCAATCCAAACTTGTATTATATCATCACCAAATTGTATTAATCAAATCTAATCTCTTGATACCTAAATCAAACATGTCTTTCGGGTGCACTCACTTTTTTGATTCACTTACCATTTTGTCGGTAGAACCATACTATCTTTTTGGAATATTATTTTAATTTTTGGTAGCGTAATATTTTCCATAATTTTGAGACGAAAGATGTGGTCCAGTTACATACATGCATGCATGCGACAAGAAAAAGAGGAAAGATTGAACATGTTTCATATGTGGCCATGCATGCTTCATATGTGGCAAGGGTCTTGACTCTCTTGTGTCTACGTTCGATGGCTAGCTCTACATAATGCCGTTCTTTGTGGCGTCGAGTCTAAACCCGTACTACATGTTCAAATCTCCGTCTATTACGCGTCTATTACGCCTTACGTCAAGGCTCTTAAATTTACTCTCTCATGAAGAAGCCCGCAATTCAAAATCACCAAATCTTTTTTGCTACAACTAGAGATGTTAATTGAGATGAGTTATTCGAATATGATTCGACTCGAGCTCAATTCGTGTTTTAAACGAGTTGAACTTGAACATTTTTTTAACCTCGTTTAAAAAAATGAGGCTACAATGCTCGGATCAAGTTTGTAAAACTCGACTCTTTTATATATAAAATAATCGAGCTACTCGCACTCTACTCAAATTTTAAAAAAGTCGAATTTGAACAATTTTTTAAATTCATTTAAAAACACGAGCTACACAAGCTCAAGCTCATAAAACTTGACTCGATTAACACCTCTAGTTATGACGTGTGCAGGTTTGCGCTGACTACTTTCTTACGCTTTGAGACTAGCCACTATAGCTAGAACTAGTTTAAAGACAAGTTTCATGAGAAACAAGAATAGTTGACCCTTACGGAGTGTTAAAAGTATTGAATCTAAGAC